ACCCCTGAGGTAAGTCTGTAAACGACCTCCAGACTCAGCTACCGCAGCCTGACCCCAAAGCTAAGAAACCTAGAAGCCCAGCTTGCTGCATCGTAGACCGCTGTCCCCAAGTCACCATTAAACATAGTCTCCTACAGTACTCACTGAACCCTCAACCCCCTATAGTATGCCTTATAAGAATCCTAGCAGAGCCCTTATAGCAGGCAAACTTGGGCTTCTAGAGAGAGCTCCACGCTGAAAATCAGGATACGCACTGAGCTGTCGAACCACACGGACGGTTTGACACGATGCCTGTGCCTGAGACTCCTTCTTGGTTTGGACGGACAAAACGTCTTGCGATATGAGGGCATGGATTTTCATGTCGGTATCATGCAAGGTTCAGGCATGAGGATTGAGCACCCAAGATCGACGAAGGCCGTCCAAGGCTTCATAAGTGTCAATAAATCAATAACTGGTAATTTACATATTCATATTCCCATTCATTACAAGCCTTTCGCCTGCTACTGCTGTTACTAGTACTCTTACTGTTGCCACTATCATTGTTATCAGTGTTTGTAGGGAAATTCAATTGCCGGGCGGGTGTGCGGAGACGATACGATGAGGTTCGGCTGATGGATCTGTGGCCTACTTGGCCCAAGAGCCGTTTGCCGGGGCCTGAAAAAGTAAGGGTACAACAATATCTAGATTTATTGGGGGGCCTTCATCATTAAAATAGGGTTTTGTGGTACATTATAGTACAGCATTATCTAGATTTATTGGGGGCCTTCATCATTAAACTATGGGTTTTGTGGTACATTATAGCGCAGGTCAGTTATGGAACCCTACGGATGTGGGCTCTTCCCAAAGGGGGGGCCAAAAGGGGTTCCAAGGACGGTGGAATGTGACCTTGATGAGAAGACCATGGTTCTGGGGGTACATGATCGTAGAAGTAGAATAAGGTTTTCAAAGGAACCATATGGGGCTTTCCGAAAATAGGGGACCCTAATATAGTACCCTAAATAGTAGGATCCTTATTATAAGGACCCCAAAATAAGGTACCCCTAATTTTCGGAATCTCCCATATAGGAAATTATTGCCCCCCTAAACTAACCCTAAATAAAGCCTGTTAAACGCCACCGCCCTCTTCCCTAAATCCTAAATAAAGCCTAAACCGTCAAGCTTCTGTATTACATCTCACGCAGGACAAGTAGTGGTGTTGACTGCGGGCAAAAGCTGCATTTCGCCCATGAGACTTTGGCTTTCAGACTGGGCTATGCCGGCTGCCGACGATTTTGTATCCTGCTCTCATGTATGGTTCTATATGTGTGTATTTTTGGCTCCCCCAAAAATACATATGTATTTATATAATAACGTTTCTTCCCGGCCCGGGTCTAGGTCCCACATGCCTCCTTTCCTGACTAGTCGCAGTTTCCGAAGTCTCTCTCTCTCTCTCTCTCTCTCTCTCTCTGGCCTGCTTACGGGCGCTGTCGTTTTGTACCAAACAGCCTGGACTTCAGTTCTGGGCAAGAGCAGTGGAATCCTGAAATCGCAGCATGGAGCATGTTGAGCAACCCACTTCGTGGGTCAGCAACTGCGGCTTTTGAGACATCTGCCCTCATCAGGAAAAGCATCGCTATCCCGCAACCCTCTAAACCCCTAAAGCCCTAAGCGCTATCCAAAAGACCCTACTTGGAGGATCATGGGACTTAGTAAGTAAGGTTATAAGGCCCGTAATTGCGAGTTATAAGTATAGCTACCCTATTTAGAACCCTACTTACTAAGTCCCATGATCCTTTAAGTACCCTAAACCCTAAACCCTCTTGCAACAACCCTAAAACCTACTTACTAAGTCCCATGATGCTTTAAGTAAACCCTACACCCTAAACCCTACTTACTAAGTCCCATGATCCTTTAAGCAACCCTAAACCCGAAACCCTACTTACGAAGCCCCTTATGATCCTTTAAGTAAACCGTAAAAGCACCCCAGCCGGACGAAGCTCCCTGGCTACTCTGGAAAGTCCAGGGCCAACCACTCGTGACGAAGGAGGTCCTCAGGTTCTCATGTGGGTGGTTGTCAAAATTATGGTCCCTTTTTGGGCCCTTATTGTAATACAGCACCTATTATTTAGGGTACCCCGAAAGGGACCATAATTTTGACAACTACCCATGTGACCCTAACCCCCCAGGTACCTACTATATAGGGTACTAGAGCCCCCTAGGGCCCTATGTAGTCGGTACCTGGGCGGTTAGTGTGAGCTAGTGGTTTGGACAATCCATGCGAGGCATTTGATGACGAGTCTGAGGTGTGAACCTAGACATTGGAAAGAGAATGCGGTACAACACTGTTTCCGACTCACACACTCGCAAAGCAGACATGGCAAGAAGTGTTCGGGCACTGTTTAGGGTTGAGGGCTTTTGCTGGTCTATGGATCCTTTTTCGGGTTTGATTTGGGTTTAAGCTTTCTGGTTTAGGGGCCCCCGAGCCGAACATGGTGGCCTCAATGTTTGGAATAGGGTTTTG